TAATTGTTTAATAAAAAAATTATAAACTAATAAAAAATAGTTAATTTGTGTGACTATAAAATAATTTTTTTATATGTTGATTCATTAATAATAAATAATTTTATAAAGAATCCTAATATTTTAATTGCCATGATGTTTTAGTTTTTTACAATATTATTTTATGTAATTGTAAATATTAATTAAAATCTTTTTTTCTTTTCATACTATTTCTTATTAAATACTTTTATTTAGATTAAAAAATTTTAATTATTATTTATTTATTATATAAATTTATCAAAATTAATTTATATAGAATTGAGGGATCGAGAGGATCTTAAAAGATTGAAAAGAATAAAATTTAAAATAATAATAAATAAGATAAAAATTTAAAATTAAAACTTGAGGTCAATCAAGTTATTTAAAATATTAAAAAATAAAATTTATATTATTTAATAATTAATTTTTTTATTTTTTTTAAAATAATAATATTATGTATATCAACTAATTTAATAATCTAATATAAACATAATTGGTACAAATTTTCTTCCAAAATTTTGTCCTCTTCCTATCAATTCATGTGATATCTGAATTTTCTCAAACACAAACACCGCTGTCTGCATCACAACACTTCTTGTCAAATAATCGCCGGCTTGGGCGGTAGCCTGGTTGGCTGAAATGGTACGCGCGTAACGTACGTTTGGGATGTCGCTGTTCGCCTCCAATACCGTCAGGAACCCACCATCCCCCGTCACTTACCACCCACCCTTGCGCTTTAAAAAAGTATCTTCGAGGAGAAATCTTTCAAGCCAAGGTGACAATGCTCCGGTTGCAACGATTTATAGAGTTAAGCATGAGAAACACCACGCTGGCCATTGCAAATAGGCGTTCCTGGTCATGGAGAAAGAGCTTTCACGTACTTAATTCATTATTTTCTCTCCTAATTTTTATATATTCTTGAAATTCATGTAAAGTTTGAGTTTTGTTTTTGATGATCTTGTATCTCCATGCAGAGAAGAACAATGAGAGGAATGAAGAAGGCAATCATCACAAGAGGTCAAAGGTAAAATGTTTAGCAGAAACTTTTAGATTAAGCACTGTATTTACTTTTTTTTCCCTTTTTTACTTGAATTCGATCAACACCCAACTCTGTCATCTAGCTGTCATGTTATTAAAGCAAACCCGGTGCTTAACTGTCGCAGATTTACAACATTACTAGCAACCCATCAGTAAGCGCCGCTAGAACTCTCTTTTTACCGTTAGTTTTTCAAAACGCTACTCATTGTTAACAGAGCAGCCGCCGGTAACCAGTTTTCTCCCCTATTATGTTTGAAATCCCAAAATATCAACCAAACTCATCTGGTATAAGCTTACTCGGTTTTTTTAATTAGGTATTTTAAGTAATTAAGAATTTAAAACTAGTTTTAAGTTAAAGAATTTAATTTTAAATTTTAAGATAAATAAAAAAATTTAAAAAAATAATTATCTTATCTTATTTCATCATCTGATATAAAAATAAATAAAATAAAATAAGAAGCTTACTCGCTTTCTCGGGTTGGTTTTTATTGG